AGGTCTTCCAAACCTTTGACGTAATATGCTCATAGCCTCGTAGTAGCCCTCTTCTGGCTTCACAAACTTACAACACTGTATGGCTCTTGCAGCATTTCCAGTGCAATACCTCATCAAATACATTAACTTCATTTCATCAGTTAATAAAAAAACACTCAGCATGATCTCAAACTCCTTTACAAATTGTAAATAATCAGCCGGGTTTCCATCAAAACATCGTGGTTCAAATTTAGGGAGTTTGATGTTCCTATTATCCGTGAACGGCGAAACAGTAACATCAACCATGTCATGTTGAACATCAGACACATCGTTACAATTAACAGACAAGTCACCATGACTTACTTTCCTGTTTGCATCCAAGACGCTCTGTCCCTTCTTTGACCCAGGCATTGTTGAACTTGACCCAATTCCAAAAACGTTCCAGATATTGCTTGTTCAAAGAGGACTTGACCGGCACCAGGAAAGATGAACGGTGACTATCCAAAGTCGTGCCAACTGTCCACAACCGTGTAAAAACTGACGTTGTACCGTCAGAAACTGTCAGCCACGTCTCATAAACCGTTAATGCCCAGCTCTTGCTGCACTCGGGGTCACGCTGTTCCTTGAAGTTTCTCAGAAACGCTTAGTAATAACGGACGCAAAACCAAAACACCAATTGGCCACTCGAGAATTCTTTATTGTAACACCAACATATAAAAAATGTTTCCACTAGGGTCTGTGAACAAATATTACAATAATAAATCACAATATTACTTCTGACGGTTGTCTACTGACTTCTTTCTGAACAGCGACCGATGAGACGATGACTGTCGTATTGGTGCCTCCGCGAAAATTGGGGAAGTTGGTTTTGATCAAACAACCAAGAATTGATCGTTCAATCTTCAACTACATTGACACTCCCCGGCAACAAAGGATCTATTACTTTTTTCCATCACGACCAATACACGTCGACTTGGATGCCAACGCGAGAACCTGGGTCACACGGACAGAGCTGAAATGGAAAACAAACAGAAAAGCCAACACAGCACAAGCATACCCACAGCACAATCTCACACATCGCTGACGACCTGCGCCTCCAGACAGAGACCTCCTCTTGACATCTTGTAACACAATCGCCACTTGCTAGAATGACTCTTGCAGAATGCAACGTGACCATAGCACCACCTCACGATACTCCATGCACATCGTCTTATCCACTCACTACCAATTACCACTGCAATCGCTTGTCACTCATTCTGCCTCAGTTCTAGTAACGGTGACGTATGTGAGCCTCAGTCGCTTACACTCTTTCTCCCCGGAGTGTGGGACCACAGCTAACAATCATCTCCGTATGCATTTCATTCTCAGCAATAGCCTCCCCGGCATATACGACCCATCTGCTGTCTCTAACATCAATCAATTTATTCACGGATGTAGAAGACTAGAAACAACTTCAGAAGTAATCACGACGAAAATTTTAACAAAATTACGCAATAACAACAAGGTACGAAACCAACAGGTAAACACAATGAATCCAAAAACCACCAATTGATATGACACACCACACGTATATACAAACAGTACACACAAACTCGCGGATCATGTCTTGATGGAATTCCTTTGAAGAATCGCAGGACTTACACCACTACGCCCACAACCCTTCAAAGTTTGACGATTGTAAGTTGTGGAATGTCCGGACACAAACAAGATTAACCAACAATTACGATAATTGGAACCCACACAATTATTTAACACAAACATATGTACAATCAATACATCAAATGTTGTGGATTCTGGCACGACAAACTACCCTTGAAGAACTGTAGGACTTACAGCAGTACGCCTACATTCCTTCTCAGGTTGATGATCCAAGTGGGAGATGTCCGGACACAAACAGAATTACCAACAGCTAGATGACAGATTACACCAATTCAGTATATACAATATGAACATACGTACATAATCGCACACCAAGCACATTGGACTGCTCATTGATGCGCTACCCTTTGAAGAATTGTAGGACTTACAGCAGTACGCCTACAACCCCTCTCAGGTTGACGCCTTAGGTTGGAAAATCGTTGCAGAGTTCATTTGCTGACTTCCCGCAATCAGCTCTATCCTCAAATTTGAACGGTAACACGCTCATGTCATTGTATCGTAGAATATAGATGACGAACAAACATACGACGTATCTGGTCAACCAAGCGTAGAAACAGAGTAATTTACACCAAAGATAATAGCATTCAAATAGTAACTTGAAACAAAAAATGCCTTTATTCATGCAAGTCAATTTAACAATTACTCTCTCGTTTACACTTGGCTTATTCTCACTAAACTGAGCAATATCTTTCGTCTTTTCAAATGCACCGATACTATCAAAATCAATGCACAAGATACTTGAGTTGATGGGCATCTTTTCCATTGTGGATGACAACACCAATTACGACTGAGTGACACAAGTTGATGAACTCAGCGGTGGATCAGAAGCTGTCGTTGTTCGGCTTTCAGAAAATTCTCTAACTGCAAGACCACCACCACTGCCATCATTTACTATCAGCTCAGGTTTAGCACTAGCATCTGATGATAGGCGGGCTACATGCTGGTCAATTACACTGACGGTCTGACAAGTATACATGCCTGCTGCAACTGCATTTATTTCTACTTCACCTTTGAGCTGTACAGAACCCTTATTTAACTTAGCGGTAGTAAGCATATCCCTCATCTCATCATGATCAACCAAAGACAAATGTGAAGTATCGTGATCATTATCAAAAATATTCAATTTACCATCATCTATCTGGTCGACTTCATCATTTTCAAACTCTTTAAAAACAGCAGTAGATGATTTTGGTTCCTCCTCACAAATCCCTAAAGATTTCATACCTTCACCCTGACTAGTAATACCTTGTAAACTTGTGGAGTCAGAACTGCACTCTGAAGCAATAACTCCATTCTGTGACACTCTATTCAACAATGGCTTACCAGTTGCAACTACAGACTTCTTCATCGCACCGTTATCGTCACACAATTCGGAGTAAGGCCTGGAGTTTACATGTAGCTTATCACTGAACTTGCTCACTGGTTCACAGCTCATCTTTGTATGCACCTCTTGCAAACGTGTAAACACAACCGTGTTTGTCTTGCATCTTGTAACTTATCTGTTGAGGATGTACTACGAAACCTGTTACACTCACTAGGTCTATATGCATTACTAGACATCATGGAGCCTTCTCGATATCCACCTCTCTGAGGCCTATTCGTCATCAATGATTGCATTTTGCTCTCAGACTGCTCTATTCTAGGGGCGAGATTCAATATACTGGCAAACTTGCTCATAGATTGATTGACACTAGTATTTACCAGTTTCAGAATGTCATCGAACCTTGGCTCGATACCCTAATCCTCCATACGGGAGCTTATATTCACCCACTTCCTTTGCAGTCGAGTAGGTAGGCGTCTTGCTATTACTTCTAGTATAAAACTCTAGTTGAGGTCATTCATGCAATTCATCGAAACCAATGCATTCTTGTAAATCAACAGATTATCCATAAACTCAGCAAGTGCCTTTGAGTCATCCTGTAGTTGACTACCACTACCCTTAACAGCTTCGAATAATTTCCCTACAATCATCGAAGGTCTTCCAAACCTTTGACGTAATATGCTCATAGCCTCGTAGTAGCCCTCTTCTGGCTTCACAAACTTACAACACTGTATGGCTCTTGCAGCATTTCCAGTGCAATACCTCATCAAATACATTAACTTCATTTCATCAGTTAATAAAAAAACACTCAGCATGATCTCAAACTCCTTTACAAATTGTAAATAATCAGCCGGGTTTCCATCAAAACATCGTGGTTCAAATTTAGGGAGTTTGATGTTCCTATTATCCGTGAACGGCGAAACAGTAACATCAACCATGTCATGTTGAACATCAGACACATCGTTACAATTAACAGACAAGTCACCATGACTTACTTTCCTGTTTGCATCCAAGACGCTCTGTCCCTTCTTTGACCCAGGCATTGTTGAACTTGACCCAATTCCAAAAACGTTCCAGATATTGCTTGTTCAAAGAGGACTTGACCGGCACCAGGAAAGATGAACGGTGACTATCCAAAGTCGTGCCAACTGTCCACAACCGTGTAAAAACTGACGTTGTACCGTCAGAAACTGTCAGCCACGTCTCATAAACCGTTAATGCCCAGCTCTTGCTGCACTCGGGGTCACGCTGTTCCTTGAAGTTTCTCAGAAACGCTTAGTAATAACGGACGCAAAACCAAAACACCAATTGGCCACTCGAGAATTCTTTATTGTAACACCAACATATAAAAAATGTTTCCACTAGGGTCTGTGAACAAATATTACAATAATAAATCACAATATTACTTCTGACGGTTGTCTACTGACTTCTTTCTGAACAGCGACCGATGAGACGATGACTGTCGTATTGGTGCCTCCGCGAAAATTGGGGAAGTTGGTTTTGATCAAACAACCAAGAATTGATCGTTCAATCTTCAACTACATTGACACCGGCTATGGTACCTTCGAAATTGGGAAGGTTAGCTTCGGGAAAGTCTTCAGGTTGTGATGACATCAGACCATCTGCCCTGAAGTAGTGTTCAGAAAGTCTCTGCCAACCCCTAAGTGATCTGTTCCAGCACTCCACACTGTCAATGGATAAGCGTACAAACCAAATCCCCACGACCTATTCTGCCTTCTCTCACTCTATCTTTTCCTTAGGTCACCTTTATTATTCCACTTATCTCAACCCATATTATCTACACTACAACCTATTATTATTATTACTATTCTGCTTTTATGACTACACCGAATGACCAGCGTGAGTTAGGTCAAACTCCATTCACGGCAGCAATACAGTCCTAACATACTGCATACTACAAATCACATCTCGACCAATCCCCGCACCACTCCTCCTGGAGTCTACCAGAGCTAAAGCAGTCGAGTGACGGGACTTACTACGCAGAAGCTCACCGAAGATCTGGAACCTCTACCTCACAATCAGGAAGCGAGCTCAAAGAAATCACTGGTTTATACTAGCTCGTAATCAGGATATTGGATATTGGACATTAGACATTCACCCCGCACAATTTGTCTTCTGTCGCTGTAGCGTGTTTATCCTCAATATAAATGACAGGTGAAAGTAATCCCAAACTTTATGTTCTTCTTGACCAAGCTTCACTTGAGTCAGTCAAGGCAGCAAGCGGGAAAGAGTTTCAACTGCTTAATCCTGACAGACACAAAGACCGAATTTTGAAGTCTGGAATAGATGTTTCCACAGTTCGTCCGGATATTGCTCATCAGTGTCTTCTTATGTTGCTTGACAGCCCTCTAAATCGGACCGGGAAATTACAGGTTAGTGTTTAATTTTGCAATAGTATTTCCATCATGAAAATACCTACTTGAGACGGTTTAATGATGCTTCATTTTACGCATATTTTGTGTATTCATATGAATAAACAAAATCGCAACATCTCTTGCGACTGTTCGCAGCTGATGCATCTAGCAAGACCAGTAAAATAATATCAAGCAGGATCAATATGCTTTTATGAAAAAGCATAGACTTTCACAAAAGAAAAGTTACGTAAAATTAAATAATTATGCGGGATGGTAATCCTTTCTGTATACTAGGAGTGATACTTCGTTTGTCATTGGGGTCCTTAGCATTCTTCCACGTACATGAAAACATAGGAGTGATTGTACATTTTGTCATTTCGTACCCTATATATCATTCGAATAATGTTTTTCGTTTGCACTCACTAACCTTTTTTTGAGATTGCCCTACAGATTGACAGAATTAGAGAATTGCTTTACAGTTGCAAGCATATCTAGACTACTATAAGTATCTATAACCACTCCATTTGTTCATGTGAATAGTTATGGATATCATAAAACGTTGGACGATCGGTAATAATACGCAAGCACTACGGACAGAGATTCTCTGCATAAATCCTTTCCGCAGTTGTATTATATAATCCTAATAACTGTGTTTGGTTTGTTCTAGGTCATTTGCCTTACCGTTCTCTCAGGTTGTAATACTTTAGTCGAGATGAAGAACTAATATTTGTACTTTATTTCTACATGAATCTTGACACGACAGACAAATTTTATTCTTTCGTGTCCAATAAGGACCAAATAGCTGTAGGACTTTTATGACTGTCGGTTAAGATTTGGATTAATCCAATCTGTTTCTAAATAACTGCGGATATTTAGAAGGCAAAAAATTAGAGCAAAGAATATTCTTTTCAATAAATTCTTCATTTGGCTGTGGGGTGATATTTGGAAGTCCAACGATTAACATGCTTAATAGTACTCCCTATGTAATTGGCTCCACAGGAACAGTCAAACTGATTACTACACATGAGAGAGGCAAAATTAGGTAGTATATTTTTGACTCCCAAAAGTAACATAGAAGTAGTTGAAAAGAGACAATATACTTCAGCAACACTGAACTCTCTTTTTACTGTGTTTCTTAAGCGTTGTATTATTATTTCACTGGTGTTATCACCGAGGAACTAAAGATTTAAAAACAAATTCTTTCTTGGAACTGTTGGTACACTAGCTTGGTTTGGCTTCATATTCATATTCTTGTTAATGACTATCTGTGGTAACAATTTTCACTCCCTAATTGTTTCATAAGACATCCGTCAGAGCAGACTGCTCTTTGTTTCAAATTTCTTCTGTTTTCTGTATTTCGGAATTATGGATGTAATCATTTCAATATGATTTCTATAGTGGTTAACATTATAAATAATACTAAATGGTTTTTCGGCTTAACGTTCGTCGTATTCGCTGTCTTAATCGTTGGTTTAATGTGAAATATTTCAATATGGGTTTTGCAGGGTAGTTTATTTTTAGACCTTGAAATCTAATCACCTTAAGTTCTTTCTTGGAAATAAATTTCATTCCTCAGCTTTAAGGCCTGTCATATATATAATTGTCAGGTAAAAATGTACTAGCAAACTACAATTAATAAAACTTCTTTAGGTATTCATTAGAGAATTAATGAAACAAAAGTTGCATAATGGACGCATTCGTTTCAAATCCGAAAGAATAAAAGGAGACACATTCAGCTTGTAATAATGAGGCGAAAGCTGTATAGCTTTTTATTACCGCAATTTGTGTTCAGTTGTGTTGCTCTTATACTACCATTAATTATAACTGCCTCTTAACCTTAATACTGAAGTCTGTTATCCTACACTAAAGTGAAAAATTGAAGCGCTTACTGGTCCGAATCATATCCATTTAATCGCTTGATTATATCAAACAAAGTGCTACATAAACAACTGCTCAGTAAACACACACAAATTTTTAGTGTAAGGGATGATGAAATTACCTGACTTCCTAAACCTTAGTCGTTGATGTTGGTGGTGGTCGTGATTGAAGATTAAAGTCATATAAGACTGATGCTCACACATCATCGATATATAAAATTGAGTTCAGAAGAGTTATATATGGTATTGAGGAATATCTGTGTACATTTTAATTGGAAGTTGTATTGTTGTTTGTCTGTTGGATTGCAATCAATAATCTATTTGGGTTCTTTAAAGTAACAGGTAGTTATGCAAGACCAACAATGGATTACCTCATGAAGTAGCAAAATATATTGATCTATGTGGAGGGATGTAAATTATACATAACGAGACTTTTGAGATTTAGCGATGCAGAAAATCAAAACAAGTGATACAGCAAAGAAACTCCTTTCAAGGAATTTATTATCAACCTGTAAAATCGTATGTAAATAGTTTTTAAGAAATTATATCCAGTGCGGGATTTGATTCATAGGTCTGAGCACATAAAATAATAATAGTATGAGATGCAATTAAAATTAAAATATTTGTGAGTATAATTATAGTTAAAAGTCAAGTGGTAAAACAATCAATGTCATATGTAGAACAATTCATGTGATGTATCGAACTTGGAAGGGGTGTTAAATTATAAGATTAGTAGACAAACAGAACGTGTCATCTACAAGGCGAAAAGTAATTCGCCCAAACCGTCACGCATCCAACTCATGTGTATTGCTAAAACCATCTTTGGCTATCGAAATAGAAAAGTCAGATCTCTGTATGCAGAAAAAACTCGTTCAAACTCTACAACTTTCATGGTCTTAATCCCTCTATGCTAAAGTGTGGTAATCCCTAATTATATTTTTGCCTCAACCTATTTTATCGTTTTGTCTATTCAGTTTGTATACTCTGCCTTTATCACGTCAATTGTTACTATTAGTATTCTCACTTTGAACTGTCCGCGGTATTATTTCACTCCTTCCACTTGTCATCCTAAATCCCTTTGGTTTCGCTTAGTTAAAATTCTATGTTATCAAATTGCACACAGTGTTACGTAACGTTTTTTATTTTTATTCTTTTTGCCTACTAATTCTATAATTTCACACACCTTTCAAGCTGTATACATCCGACGAATTGTTCTGTATATAACATCAATAGTTTCGCCACTTGACATTTAACTGTGATTATAATCACAAACATTTTAACTTTCATATATATATATATATATATATATATATATATATATATATATATACGATTGTTCAGCCTGATAATAAATTCGTTGAAAAGTCTCTTCTCTGAATCACCACTTGTTTTGATTTTCTATATGTGCCAATGGGAATTTTCCATGAATTTAATGATATGACTGAAAAATTTTTAACATTTCAACAAGTGTATCTGTTGTTTACAATAGATAATTGAAATAATTTCATTGCTATGAATTTCTTTAGACATATTTCTTCATTTCGTTCATTTGCTTTATCGTTTACCTGCTCTGAAGTGTGTAAAGGAATGTAATGGTCAAAACCGATATCTTCTTGCTGATTTGACGACCTTCTTTCGTTGTATTCCACAAAACTGTCTCGTTGTTGGTCAGCATAGATTTAAAGTCTTGTACAAGTTAAGACAAACTCGCTAATTTTTTTTGAAAATCTTATTTCAAAAGTTTTGGAATTCAGTGATGATCATTTCTCTCAGTTACATTGTTGTGCTGTCATCTACCGCCTGGAGTAGACGACGAATTCCATAGTTGGTTGTTGTTCTAGCCCACACCATCTTATCTAAGTGGATTGTTGAATTTTTTGTTTAAGTGCAGTCATAATTTGGAAAATAACCGTAAACTGTTAACTGAAATGATACATTTTTGTGAGAAATTCTCGTCATTGGTGAATCAACTAAGTACAAAAGCAATAGTGATGCCACGCCATTGCAGGCTCCACTTGGTTTAAGAAAGAGTTAACAAGCCAACTGCATCAATTAATATGTCCAAGTTATCTTTAAAGGTGACAAACTAGCAGTTAAATGTAGCCTTTTTGAGCTGCCATTGTAGCACTGAAGCAATCAACTTGTATATATACCCTCTAAAGTTAGTAATTATTCCTACTTGTAACTGAACTGATTTAATATGTGCATTAAATTTTTTTACGAGAGAATAGTTACTGAAAAAGAATATTCTTTTCGATAACCCGCTCTACAGTTATATGTATCCATAATTGTGAATAAATTAGTTTTATTAACAACATTAATGTCTGAATAAAGTGGAACCAATAATAATATCAATGGATTACAGTTGAATAGCATCAACATAACAATACACACTGAATATCAAACAGACAAATTAGAAAAAGCAATAATATGAATTCATAAATTTATAGTCTCCACTGAAGGCCGACCAGGGCAGTAGTATTGGCTGGACTTGCTTCTTCTCTATAAAGAGCATCGGTTGTTTAAGGCATATCGCGATAGCCTCTGTTGTTTGGAGTATGCAGCACCTTGGTGTTTTTGGCAATTTGTTTGGTACCCTAAAGGTGATGGAGAAAAATTCTTCAGTGCTGGTTTTGTGGATCAGGCGGTCTAATATCGAACTGTTGATGGTTTTTACTACACCTTTACTTAACCACACTGGTAGATATTTCCGAGGTAGCACTAAAAATCAGGTTCCTAGAGCAGCGGCCAATATAACTCGCTACACCACAAGCGTAATTCAGTTAGCAGATACAATTAGAAGTGGCTAGCTAGTCTAGGTAATTCACCTTTCAATTGAGGAATCACAACCTGTCGTTTAGAAAATAAGACATATAGTTTACCAGCATTAAAAGTCTTCTAAACTGATTTTCTTAACTAATTCGTAATTATTTCCCTCGGTATATCGCCCTTGGATTGTAGTCGTATGTATAAAGGCTTCTTGTTTACCGATAGAGAGTAGTCCTTTGCTACCTTATCAGTCATAAGTTTGCTGATGAGTTTGTCTGGATAGCTACTTTCAATCAAGGTGTCATACACACTCTTTAGTTCATATTCAATTACCCCTTCTGAGCATGTAGCTCGGAAGACCCTTTGACTGAGGATCCTTATTAAATTTTTTTTGTACTGGAGAGGAATGGAGCTGTTAAAATGTGTAGATTGTCCTGTCCATGTACTTTTCCTACATGCAAATTTCTCTTTATACTACCATCCGGTTTCTTTTTAAGAAGAGCACCTAGGAAGGCAGTTTAATTCTATTTTGGGATTCCTTTTCACACGTGAATTTCATAGCCAGAATGTACTTGATTAATTTGAGTCAAGCAGTTGATAAATGTATCTTATCTGAGTAGTACTGTAACAACAGAAGACAAGGGTCAGACAACAGATCATTTATTAAGGAAATCAGCACGTATGTATACATATATTTCATGTACATTATTATAGCTTATTCAAGCAGACAAACAGTCTTCTGATTGGTTGTTTCTTGCTCAAGGTTATTCTGTGCTGCTTGTGATTGGTTTCTCAGAAAGTTAAGCCATATATATCTGCGAATCGTATTTGCCCACGTTAAGTCTGCTGTGATTGGTTGTTGAATCAGTCTTGTTCATATTTTCTCACGGCCAATATTAGCGACATAGACATTGACGTAAATTAATGCCTACCGATTGGCTAGCAGCAGCCTGCTGTCACCACAGTACAGCTACTGCTCACTTATTTCTTCCCTATATTGATCAACGCATCCAAACTTGTTTGTTACTTATCTGGTCGCAAATTACTTTTAGGTATTTGACATCATGGTAAAAGTAGCGACATTGCCAGTGGGGGTTGCATATCATTTATTCAACCTTGTCCACCGCCCCCAGTTTCTTTCGAGATTAAAGTGCCCCTTACTTCACTTTCTCTTTTTATTTCTAGGTATTCATTAGAACACGAAAAAATGTCATCATTGAAGTTAATCCTAAAACCCGCATACCGCGTACATTTGATCGATTCTGTGGACTTATCGTACAACTGTTACACAAACTATCAATACACGCTGAAGGCGGTAATCGTGAAAAACTTCTGAAGGTTGTAAAAAATCCTATTACACGACACTTTCCAATCGGTGCACCAATTATCGCTACATCATTTTCAGCTAAGGAACAGATTAAACCACTACAACTAGCAGAAAGTACACAAAAATCTGGTCCTCAATCTGTTGTCATTATTATTGGAGCATTAGCTCACGGGTCAATTGTTGATACGTGTAAAGAATTTCTCCAGCGTACAGTCAGTATTAGTAATTTTCCTTTATCAGCTGCTCAAACCTGTTCACGAATATGTACTGCTTTCGAAGAGCTGTGGGGTGTTGAAGATATCTTGAGTGAAAAAACTGCTACCCAAGTAGATGTTTGCACATAATTGGTATCGAATGAATAAAAGCGCATTTTACAACACAACTTATTACAGTAAATTTAAACGTCCTCTAACAATTCTTTTTTTTGTTGTACATAAAACTGCAAAGGATTTTTTTAAACATAAATTTAAAATCTAATTATGTTTTCCTTCATTCAACTGACCAGTCTTCTTATAGAGAATTAAAGCAATTAGTCTCTTTGTAATAAATTTAGATAGTGTTGTTATTAGAAGACGAAGGGAGATTATCTGAAAAATATGATGTGGTGTGGTGTATTTGCTCAATACATCAATCAGTTAGACAATTTGTTGATGTTTTAAAGCCCAATACGCATACAATGAATTAGATAAGTTTACTTTGAAGGATACATTTGAACTTTGGTTGGAAGATTTCATCATGAGCTGACGTCAGTTAGAGAGCCACTGGAAAACCTGGGATCACTGGATAGATGTTTCGTCCTAGTTTGAGACTCCTCACTGGAACACACCCACACATCCAGGGTTTGGACCCACTAACTTCTCGTTACAAGGCGACCGCTAAGCCGTTGGGACCCGATTCATGACCTAGCGCGACCACTTCGCAATGCCTTGTTCGATGAGTTACTGCGTCGTCTCCAACCTGCTGTACCCTACTGGTCACGACTTCCCACTAGAACCCCAGGTTAACTGCCTGCATAGGATCAGTCGCTAGTGAGCATCAGATTAATTTTCAAGTATTGATTGTGTAGGGGGTTTTGTTTGATTGGTTTGAGAATTTCATCATGAACTGACATCAGAAGTTAGAATTCATGGACTGACCATTGGATTGGGTCCCAGTGGCTTGATAGTGTCTATGAGTTAGCTCGCCTTGTAACCAGAAGGTCCTGGGTTCGAATCATGGCGGTTGGTGTGTACTGATAAAGAGTATTAAACTAGGATGAAAAAGCAGTGCAGTTCTCAAAGGTTTTCCAATGGTTCTCTAACTGAAATCCTCCGGCCAATCAAACAAAATTCTGTACAAAACCAATACCTGAACATATGAACTTGTCTTGTAGACATGAATATAAAAGATATGAAAATGTTTTCTTTTGATGTTAATTCTTTGTTTTCTAATGTACCATTGGTTAAGACTGTTGATATTCTTTTCATTCCCTTTTCGTTTAACTCACTTGAAAGTTTTACTACTATTACGTACTGACAACGTCCATTTCACATTTGTGAAGGTGAGCGCTTTCGACAAGTGGATGGTGTGGCTATGTGGAGTCCATTAGGACCTCAGTTAGTGGATGTTTACACGTCTTATTGTTGAAAACTTGTCCCTTGGTTTAATTTCTAAATTGCTCTTCTATAGGAGATATGTAGATGATATTATTTTGATATGTGATGATCATGAAGATGCTAGTCGTCTATTAGATAGACTTAACTATGTACCGAATCATATAAGTCTTGCATGCGAGAAAGAAAGTCGCAACAAGTTTGCATTTTTAGACATACTTCTGAGTCGAAGAGATGATGGTTCAATAAGACGATCAATTTACAGAAATATTTAATTGGTGTATGGTGACTAACAGTGGAATCCAGGATGCGAATTTCGTCCTATTTGGTCTCGTCAGTTGGATGTACCTGCATTTCTCATTGAGTGATGATGTTCCCACTGAGGCTCTAACCCAGTGCCCAAAGTTTTAAACGTCCCAAATAGGACGAAATGCGCATCCTGGATTCCACTGCTAGTCACCATCCACCAATTAAATACCCAGACATCGTCGAAGCATCTGCATTAGAAGCTGATATGTCAACCTGAAACTGAGCACTTAGGTCAAATCAATCGACGGGAAAATCTAAAATTCAATTCAATTTACAGAAAGCTTACTTGGATAGGGTAGCACCGTAATTTTCACAGCTTCTTTCCATTACAGGATAAGAAAGGCTTGGTGAAATGCTTATTTAAGAGAATTCAGCGTATTTGTACGACTGATGTTATAAAGAAAGAAAATTTAAATATTGATGAGTCCTAACCGCTGTGCCGCCGATGCAGCCCGGCTTGTAATTATCAAAAAACCAGAAATATGCTTCACTGCAAACCTCAAAAGTGCATAAGGGATTATGTCACATCGCACACTATTTACCAATTTTCGTGTGTGTGTGGACAAAAATACATAGGGAGGAGTAGTCGTTCTTTCCATGTGAGAGCATATCCCGAAGTGGTTAGAAAGACCTAGTAGGCTCCCTAATATACCACGTTTATATGGACTACCGAAAATTCACAAGACAGGATTATCCCCCCCATCCAAATTCTCGATATGGTGGGTTCTCCGTATCACGGAATTGTTCAATGGCTAACTGAAATACTGCAACCAGTTAGAAGGCAAGTATCCTAAGTTTCCCACTGATGATACGTTTAAATTTATTGAGAGTATTAAAGATTTTCTGTCTCAGACAAATTCATGTTCTCACTAGATGTGACTTCGCTATTTACCAATGTACCTCTCATGGAAACTGTTTGCTGTATATGTGAGTATATTGACACACATAGTTTAAAAATAGGGTTGCCGACAATCCATCTAAAAGAACTTTCGTTCAGATGCACGTTGAATGTTCAGTTCACCATCCAACAGTGAGATTTTAAGACAGAGAAATGGCATTGCTATAGGATCACCACTGGGTTCCCTGCTGGCTGATTGTTCAATGGTAAAGCTTGAAAACTCTCAACTTAGTCAAACCATCGATCATTTCGTCATTTACAAAAGATACTCAAATGACACTTTCCTTATCTGCGATAATAACGTAATTCTTGATGATGTCTTGTGTGCTTTCAACAACTGCCATTCTTCTTTACAATTCACCATAGAAAACCATTCTGAACTAAGTCTCCCTTTCTTGACGTCTCTGTCTGGATTCAACATAGAACTTGTCACCGAAGTGCAGCAGTTAGAGTTCCCACGTTCCAAATAGCACACAAAGGTAGACAAGAAGATGAGTGAAGAGAATCAATAGAGTTTGACAGGTACAAGAGTGAAACAGAATGGGTAATGGTAGAAGAAATGTGAAAGATTAAAGAGACTGGATACATCTGCGCTGGCCATGGACAACGATTTTGAGTCATGCCACCTATTGTCTCCAGCCATTGATTCCTAGAGTCCTGAGGGCCCCAATCCGGAAGTCTGCATCTCCCTACCTGACCAACTCAGTTTAACTGTCAAGGATTTCATGGATTGATGAGGCCATGTTTTCGTTTGGCCACCACTGGCTCTTTTCCAACCTGAACCTATATCAGCTAGCAATGCCCGTCGGGGGAGGCGATGGTTAGGCATGCGCAGCACGTGACCTAGCCATCTCAATCTATGTAACTTTATAGCCTCGTCGATTGATTTTATTTATTTTTATTTTTTTATTTCTGATTACGGCTTGACTCCACACCGTATTTTTGGTACAAGTGTGGAATTTTCAGCGTGGATATCGGTAGCCCGAAATTCGCAGGCCGACCATAGATATCAGGTGTGTGTCGGTGTGGGCTCGAACCCCGGACCATGTACATGGTCGGCGAGAGTCCTAACCACTGTGCCACGACGCCCAACACTCTACGCCCAACGTCAACATTACTTACCTTCTTAAACCACCTAACGTGAGACAGGGATAGCCGACATCTATGATCGAAAGCAGTCAACCTTTTCATGTCTTCAACTCGTATTGGCCATGTTTCAGAGCCATAGAGAAGGACGGAGTGAACTGCTGAGCAGTACACACATCCCTTGGTTGATAGCCGGATGTCACGCCTACGCCAGAGATGGTGTAAGTCAGAGAAAGCAGCTCGAGCTTTTTGGATCCGTGCTGAGATTTCGTCGCCAATCAGTCCGTTGGTGCGGATACAACTTCCCAAATAGGTGAAGTGGTCAACATGTTCTATCACTTCACTCCCTATCACTAAGGTAGGAGTTGACGTAGTCCAGTCCTGTAGCAGCATCTTACATTTTGCAGGGGCGAATTGGATGCCACACATTTTCTTGACGTGTGCTGTAGTAGGTGTAATGACGGATCTCTCAAAAAGATTCATCCACCGGAAACGTACATGGAACGGACAACTAACTAATTTTTACAGTTGGGTGCGTATCTCCAGGAAAAGGGACCTAATTCATTCACTCTGCTTTGCGATAAGACACATTTGTAGTTCTGATTGCGTTGACTCAGAACTTGACTTCCTAAAAGCCACGCTCGCAGAAAACAGTCACCCGAACCGATTTATTGACAGTATCACGAAAGATAAGCAGTCTAAACTGGTCACCGACTCACTTCCAAAGAAAGCCGTATTCATGAATTTGGAATTGAAACGTGATCAAGCTTCAGAAATGCTCAAATATCGTCTCTCTAAATCAGTCAGTAAGACGTTCTTTGCAGTTCACCAGCCGCAAGTTGTTCTCCATCTCTGTAAAAGATAAGCTCCCCCTTCTGGCCGCCTCCATGTGCATCTGTCAGTTCACCTGCTCTTCTTGTGGAGCAAAGTACATTGACCGTAGACAAAGGACGCCGCTTTCCACACGGATATGAGAACATATTCCAGCTGCATGGTTTTACAAGGGAAAAAGGAAGTATGTGTGCGAAGCTCTATTCTAGAACACCTGATCGACTCCTGTCATTCTGCCAACCCTGACTATGATTTTAAGATAATCTACCCAATCCATGCTAACCTGCCAGCCGCGTTCTCTTCGTTACAGACTTCTAAGGACAACGGAGGCCTTGGTAATTCATGACTTTAAGCCAGACAGACCTTTGTGTACAAAAGAAGTATGTTCAATCCCTATTTCTGCCTTGGCCGAAGAGGGATAGACATTTATTTATGCATTTTGTTTATTTAGTTATTCTATGTACCTTTCCCTTATAACTACGATTATTATTTGAACTGTTTCCACTTATCCCACTTGGCATTCTAAATCCGAAATTGTTATTTTATTTTTACAATATTGAATTCTATCTTACCAAATTTCACGCCATGTTATGTAACACTTTATATTCGCGTACTAGTCCTATAAGTATACACCCCTTTCCAACATTTATACACCTTATGTATTATGCTATATTCGACAGTAATTATTTGACCACTTAACATTTAACTATGATTTTAATCACAAATATTTTAATTGCATTTCATACTACTATTATGATTTCATATATTCACACCATCGACCTCACACTGAATATTATTATTATTGCTCCCTTGGGTTCCTAGTGGAAGCCCTATGTTCATAGGGCTTCAACTGCACGTCTCCACTTGCTTCTGTCTTCTGCTGTACTTTTCACCTACCTCCATGTTAGTTCATACTCTTTCAACTCCTCTTCACATGATCTCCTCCATGTCACCCTTGGACGTCCCACTGACCGCTTCCCCTTCGGTTTCCACTCGATGGCCTGACGCGCGATGTCACCCAGCGGTCTCCTCAGCGAGTGTCCAATCCATCTCCACTTTCTCCTGTATATTTGTTGCCTCACCAGATATAATTTCTTATAGAAGAAACCCTGTGTATTCGACTGTACAGCTTGATAATAAATTCGTTGTTGAAGAGTCTCTTCGCTGAATATTGTGTTCTCAAATTGTGGAAAATCAACTAACGCAAGTGTCAGACTACCAACTTCGTCTATAGCCAAACATTTAATCGACATGAATCCCATAAGACTGATGTGTTAACACAGTCTTTAAGGTCATCTATTATAAAAAAATGGTCAAGGGAGCTGCTTATCGAAATACTCTGAGAGACTATAGCTATGCAAATAAAACTTAAGCCCACCCGCCCCTCTGTATGCCTGAAAGAAAGCAAATATTCTCAGAGTGCAATTACCAGACATATTGTTGATACCGGACATCTCGTAGAGATTTCTAAGTCCTTCAAAATATTAAATAGACAAAGGATAGCAAATTTACGCCGATTTGACGAAGCGATCGCAATCAAACGACTCGAACCAGACTTATGCATACAAAAAGAGAGTGTGATTAACCTCTCACGCACTTGGTAAATGAATTTCGATTACATTAATTAGTCATCTCATTCAGTGATCTCAACTCACTGAACAAACCTTAATCTGAACGAAGAATATTCTTTTCAATAATTTCTCCTCTTCAGGTTCTTACAATTATAAAATATAATATTTGTGGTCGTTACAATAAGGGTGGCAAAGTGGCTGGTACAGCTACTTCAACCCTTGCATGACGAGTTAGTAAAGCATAGCGTCAAGGATACCTTTCAATTTATTGATAAGATCAAAAACTTGAATGCGACTGGCAAATACATGGCATCATTTGATGTTTCATCTCTATTCACTAGTGTGCCTCTAGTGGAAACCATCGATTACATCTGCGAACAGATTATAGAAGAGAAATTGTGCACTGATATTCCTATCAGTAATCTGAAAAAACTACTTGTTAAAATGTACAACGAGTGTTCAGTTCCTGTTTAATAATAAAATATACAGACAGGTTGAAGGAGTACCCATGGGATCTCCACTGGGACCTATTTTCGTGAATATATTTCTAGCAAAACTAGAAAATAGTCCGTTGAAAGAGGAAATAGCAAAAATGGAAATGTATTATCGTTACATGGATAATACTTTTGTAGTGTACGATGAAGGGTTAAATAGTGATTTGATTTTGAACGACTTCAATGATGCTCACCCAGCGGTCCATTTCACCTACGAAGGAGAATACAACGACTCTCTACACTTCCTCGACGACCTATTAACGAGAAGAGAGGATAGTTCCGTCAAAAGAACCATATTTAGAAAGCTAAAGACCAAAGCTCAGTATACACAATTCCTTAGCTTCGTACCGATGAAATACAAACGTAATCTAATCAGGTGCGTAGCACTTAGAGCGAGGTCTATTTGCTGCGAAGACTGCGTTAGAGAAAGAACTTCAGGTCATCCGAGACATCCTAAGCGAGAACGGATATCCAGAGAAGTTCATTAAAGCCAACATAGATTACAATAGTCGTAAACATGAACTGGCAACTGTGGAGAAAAAGCCCTTGTTTTTACGTCTCCAATTCAAGGGAGATACTCCTGCGGAGATTCTATTCCGACGTTTAACTAGGGCGATCAAGAAAACTTTCTACTCTGCACGTCTGTGTCTATCCTTCACTAGCCGTCCAATGTTCACCTAACCTTAGCTCTTCTTCATGCATATACCATTTCAACTGTTCCTGTGGTTCAAGTTATATAGGGCGCACGATTAGGCAGGTTGGAGAACACTTACCAGCTTGGTTCAGCAGGGGGGAAATTAAGTGCATAAAAAGCTCAATCCTGTCACACTTGGTCGATATTAGACATCGCATCGATGTGAACACAGCTTTCAGGGTTATATACCGAATTCCGAAGTGGTTATCACGTACAGTTCGCTTACGTCTCCTATACATAGCTGAAGCTGTTGCAATAAGATCGACTAAACCAGAACTTTGTATCCGAAAAGAACACGTCCAGGCGCTGTTCCTACCGTGGCCAAACTTGGATTGATGATTTTTCTTCTCACCAAGAGTGTTCCTTCCATTTAACCCTCTTGGTTTCTTTTTACTTTGCCTATTATTGCAAACATTATTATTATTCATAATTTATGCCCTTTATGCAAACATTCCCTCAATACTATCGAATTTTTCATTTATACGGACTTATTATAAGTGATATTATCTGTTTTCTCAATATATGCTTCCACCTGTTTCATTTAACATATTCGTTATCTCACTATGAACCTCTCATTGCAGTCTTACTATCTCCTGTTTAAAACAGATCACTTTGTACTAGCCACTCACCTGACACCTTCTATAACCTTGAACTGATTTGTCAGTTTTCCTACTCCACACTCTAAAAATTTATTATGATTAATCACCATCACTGTCTCCCATTTCACTGAAATATTTTGTAATCGATTTCAGCCTAGCACGATGTTTGTTACACAAATACGACTATTTATTTTGACACCCCATAACTGCTAATCTGTTATTCAACGTTAAAAAATGTATCCGTCGCATGACTAACTGGCCATTATTGTAACGACCACAAATATATTCTATTTTATAATTGTAAGAACCTGAAGAGAAGGATGCATTGAAAAGAATATTCTTCGTTCAGATTGACTTTTAAACCTTAATCTCATAAACTGTAACCGCTTTTGTATTTTGAGTTGCTATGTTAACCTACAAGCTAACACTGTTCTGTTAGTCAATTTTTTCTGTTTTCTGTCTTACCCCACCGCCAATCCACTTTTCAACTTTGAAAGCGTATAAATTGATGATGAAAACTTAAACTAAAAATTGTAATGCTGCTTTCAGTTTGGATGCGTCAACTTTATAGTATCTCTTCTCTACTCTACCACTCAAACATTAAAGTATGTTATTATCATCTGTGTAACCATTGTCATTTCAGGTAATGGTGTGCAGCTGATGAGAACCTGTGAAATAGAATGATGAAATCATTTTATTATACTGCAAATTTCGTCTTCCTTTCTTCATCGAAATTTATCAAAGGAACCAAAATGTATGAAAAATGTTCAAAAACAGTTTATTATTATTATTACCCCTTAACCTAAAACTCAGATTCATCACCATTGACCCAAAGTGCTTTATTAATATTTAAAAAAAGGTCAAATTACGTTAGTCCAACACACCCACCCATCCACACAAAGCGTATAAATAAGCAAAATAATCGATCACAAGAAAGTAAGTTAGGAAAAGCAATGTGTTGAAGTGCAGAACTAGAATTCCGCAATATATGAAAAGAAGTTATCAGGTATGTTATTAGTTTCTTTTAGTTTTTGACAGGCATATGACCGAAATCAAGTAATGCTATGACTTGAATTTGTTGAATTTCATCAGCTGGCGGTGGTGGAGGCCGTTGTTGTTGTTGTTGCTCTAAGACAACAGATGCTGCTGCTGTCGGTGTAGTAGTACTTGATGTCTCAGAACTGATTGTTGTTGTTGTTTCTGTCGATTTGTTTGGAGATATTGAATCGTTTGATTTGTTAGCCGCGGCAGCTGCTGCCGCCGCCGCTGCAGTCAATAATGTGGTTGATGTATTCTTGTAATCATAAGTCAAGTGAATAGCTGCTCTTAATGGAACTAACTCAGTAGATGATTTAGGCTGTATTATTATATCAATGCCTTGTTCTTCTTCACTAACCGGAGCTAAACTTGGATTTCGTGATGTTTTTGCCTTACTACTAGTGTTGTTTTTGGGTATTAAGTCAATGTTAATACCGAGTTTGTTACCACGACGGAATGCTACGATCCTATAGGGGATTGAACAAATAAATTAAAACAAATGAATGTGTCGTGAAAATTTGACAGAAAAGTTCTAAAATATTTGGACACCGAGTGAGAAGTAGACATTTGTAAAAAAAATATTTGTAAAATCTCAGCGAAATTGAAATGAGTAATTCCAACGTTTCCTGTGTTCGACAATCTCGTCCGAACGTCTTCTGGGAAATTGATCGAAATTAACACAACAACAGAGGTTTATATATAAAAAAGGGACATCTCTTGTTTTTAATAACTTTGTCCAATCATATGAGTCATGAAACAGGCATCAAAATGTATAATCAACAAAGTTGTATGAGTTGTGATCAAAATTTGACCTCGGACTTACGAATATTGGTCTACCTTTGTTAAACTCTTTAAACACAGTGTGTATGTGTGTGTGTGTGCGGGTAAACAGTTGTAAAACAATGTCTTAACGTCTCCATAAGTAGATATAGACAGTCGGGAAACTTTGACCAAGTATTATTAGTTAGTGATACATATCCATTCTTATTTATTAATCAGGATTTCCTATGCGTCAGTTAACATCACACCTTCACATCTGTTGAGACTGTTAGTATCTAGAATTTTATGATTAGACGTATTTTCAAAATTATGGTGTTTAGGATTAGAGTTTAGTTGAACAACCCCGTCAAACTTATTGCTTTATCTTCTTTTCGAAGATTGAGCATTCTGTTGCAGACAACGAAGAGTGAAAACACGATGATTGTGCTAATTACATTTTTTCTTTGTTAATCTAATACGATTGCAAAATAATTCAAATGAACTGTCATCAAGATTCCACAGAATAGTTCCAAATATTTTTCAAAATTATGGTGTTTAGGATTAGAGTTTAGTTGAAAATACGTCTAAATATAAAATTCTAGATACTAACAACTTGAAAAGACATGAAGGTTGCTGTCAGCTGATACATAGCAAATCCTGAATAATACATTAAAAAATGGATATGTATCACTAATTATAATAATACTTGGTCAAAAATTCCTGATTGTCTATGTCTTCTTGTGGAGATATTAACAAATGTTTTACAACTGTTCAACCCCACCCAAACACACACACACAGACACACTGTGTTTAACAAAGGTAGATCAATATTTTTAAGTCCGTGGTCAAATTTTGATCACAACTCATACAACTTTGTTGATTATACATTTTGATGCCTGTTTCATGACTCATATGATTGGACAAAGTTATTAAAAACAAGAGATGTCCCTTTTTTATATATAAACCTCTGGTGTTGTGTTAATTTCGATCAATTTCCCAGAAGACGTTCGGACGAGATTGTCGAACACAGGAAACGTTGGAATTACTCATTTCAATTTCGCTGAGATTTTACAAATATATTTTTTTACAAAAATTAAAACAGTTAAGATTGTAGAATTGCAGAACAGCACTGCTGCCAATTTTACTCCAATCCCAAAGAGTTGTTCATTGTCGTTATATTAATGAAAGAATGTCATCCAAGAGGCTGCCGTACCGGCGGTCTCTGTTCACCAGTCAGCCCTGGGACGGGATGGAAGAGGCGAAGGGGTAATCAGCCCATTACTTACTTGGCGTCGTGGAATGAAGGATATTTGTGCTAGGTTAGCACTGGCTGAGGCGTCACAACTCCCTGGTTGGAGTCCGAGAGATAGCTCGAAATGTTACAGAATATGGCCAAGAGTCGTAATCAGTGGCGAACGTGCTGCAATTTCCTTCTTTCTTCCTTCCCGATGATAGTTGATGAATGGTGTTTGGACTTGTTAGGTATGACTGTTTTCCTTCCAGATGAAGTTCTTTATCCGTTCCCCACCTATATTTTTTTTTAACTTTTAATTTATGTTGTTTTAGGAAGACAATTGCAGCGAAAAAAAATTTCCTTTTCCGTTCCAAAGAAAAGACTTCTGCTTAATCTAGAATTCAAAGGTGATAATATTGAAGCGGAAATCCTTCGTAAATACCTCTCCAAATCACTGAGGAAAACATAATTTGCCGCGAGCCTACAACTGACGTTTACCTGCAAGAAACTGTTCAGCCAGAACGCGAAAGACAAGCTGTCGCATTGGGCCACCTCAACGTGCATATACCAGTTTACTTGCTCTTGTGGAGCTGAGTACGTTGGCCGTACCATGCGCCGACTTGAAAAACGCGCTCGCGAACACTGCCCAGCCTGGTTAGTAAAAGGTCACCAAAAGCGTGCACATAGTTCAGTGACAGAACATCTGGTCAATTCAAGACATTGGGCGCCTTTCGAAAAATCCTTCAAAGTAATATACAAGATTCAATCAAACCTATCAAATGGAGTGATATCAAGACATCTGGGTATAGCTGAGGCGCTAGCTATCCAAAAGAAATACGTCCAAACCCTGTCCCTGCCATGGCCATCATAAACAGGTAACTTTTTAGTAATGACCATCCCATCGCCTTTCTTATCTAAACTTCCTGTTTATTCATGTTATTTTTTTTAAGTTTTTCTTAATCCCTATTTACACTACCATATTTTCATACCTGAACATCGTGTTTATTTTGTCATTTTACTATTTCTACATATTTAATCCCTGATTGTATAAAGAGTTATTCATCATATTAGTTTTCTATCCAAACATCTTGTCTATTTTGTTATTTCTACATTTCTAACCCCCAAATTGCACACTGTCAATCTTCTTAGTAATTATGATGCTACTTTGTTTGAGTTTTATCCGTCCCCCTGTTTATTATGGCATTTTAATACCTAGTTGTAATTTTTATTGATTTGCCCCTTAACCGGAAATTATTCTGGAACTTTCCCATCCATTTGATATAAATACACGAATGTACAGCCTAGTTGACGGAGACTTCGTCGAAAAGAAAATTTTCTTCGCTGCAATTGTCTTCTTAATAACTCTTATGTTGTTTTATTATTATTGTGTGGCGCATCTTCTTGGTGCCATAGTGTACCAAGTTTTTTATGTTTTAATAATAATAATGTAAAACCAACTACAAAAGCAGACATCTAGAATGCTATAAAAATACTGAGAGCCAGGAAGGCATCACGACCAGACGGAATTCTATCCGGAAGCACGGCCACATCAGATTATCTTGCGCCACTATTGCAAAAACTTTGGAAGGAAGGAAAGCTACCTCCTGATTAAAAGAAAGACTGTTTTGTCAAACTTCCAAAGAAAGGCGACCTAAGATTCTGGCAAGCATTGACTGACGCGGAAACACGGTTCTGTCTCTACTCCAAGTAAAATAATATTAAGTCATCTTCACTAGGGAGAGATTTAAGGATGCTCTGAATCCAAAACAAGCGAAATTAAATCATCATAAGCCGAAACAAACTCCAGAGCCGTAAAAAATGCCAACCAACTCTTCCTACTATCTCAACTTCATCCACCTTCCAAGTGTCATCTACGACAAATTAATTTAACCACCACGTAATTTGCAATCTACTTTTAATACTACGGAGTGCTGTGTCAAAACCATTTCCAGATATATCTTATTCAACAACAGCTATATGAACTGACATTAGTTAGAGAACCATTGGAAAACCTGGGAGTACTGGATAGCTGTTTCGTCCTAGTTTGGGACTCTTCAGCAGCACGCACTCCACCGGGATTCAAACCCAGAACCTCTCGGTATACGAGCTCGCCTTGTAACCGGAAGGTCCTGGGTTCAAATCCCGGTGGATGCGTGTTGCTGAAGAGTTCCAAACTAGGACGAAACAGTTATCCAGTACTCCCAGGTTTTCCAATGGTTCTCTAACTAATGTCAGCTCATGATGAAATCCTAAAACCAATCAAATCCCTACAAACCAACATTTGAGAACAGCTATATGGTTATGATACATAGAGAATTAAACAAAAAATTAAAACAGTTAACATTATAGAATAACACTGCTGGGAATTTCATTTTGATCCTAGAGAGTTGTTCATTGCTGTTATATTAATGAACTCTCAAAATGCAACAACAAAAGTCGAGATCTAGAATGCCTTTAAAAAATACTGGAAGGCATCACCACGACTAGACGGAATTCCTCCGGAAACATCCACAACAGATCCCATTACACCCTGTAGCCAATCTGGTGACTCTTCATACAGTACTACATGCTCTATAAGCCAATCGAAACTGGATAAGTACCCTACTGATGTTACCTACATCTGCATGTATAAATTTAAGTGCACCTGCGGCAGCAAATACATTGGAAGGACAGAAAGAGGGGATTCTCTCCGGTTTTCAGAACATATTCCGAAAAACTTATGCTTCAAAGGAAGCAGATATTTACAAAGTGCAATTATCAGATATCCACCATGTGGATACGGGTCATTTAGTCGAGATTTCCAAATCCTTCAAAATATTAAACATACAAAGGACACCGAATCTACTACGATTTACTGCTGAAGCAATTGCAATCAAACGTCTCAGACCAAACTTAAGCAGCATACAGAAAGAGAGTGTAGTCAATCTCTCACTCCCTTGGTAACCATATCACTTTCACTACACTGATTGGTCATACACACTAGTGGGCTCAACTCACTAAGCAAGTTTTCAAATCGATGAACTTTGACTTTCTTGAGTTGCCATGTTGACACTGTTTATTAGATTTTTCTGTCTTCTCTCACTCACTCACCCACCCTTTTCGTTTTTTTCATAGTTTGATAGTATATAAATTGATAGTGACTTAAACTAAAGCTAACTGTAATACTTATATTCCAGATGCGTTCACCCTATAATGTTTTCTCTATTACCTTTCAAACAATGAAGTATGAAATGTTATTATTTATAACCATTGTAATTTCAGGTAGTTTGCAGCTGATGAGAACCTGTGAAATGGAATGATGATATCATTTTATACTGCAAATCTTGTCTTTCTTTCTCTATTGAAAGCCTAATTTGTCAAACTGCCAAAAAAAGGCGACCTAAGATGATTCTCCAAGGAATGAGGCAGAAACATGTTTCTGTCTGCCACAAGTAAAATAGTAAAACAGATACCTGAATCCAAGACAAGCTGAATAAGGTGAAAGTAAATCATCATAAGCCGACAAAACTCCCGCGATACGACGCATCAACATCACCTACAGCCGCCGAGTGTGCCATTCAATTCTCTACACTACCTCACTTTCTAAGCATCGTCTACAACAAATTGGTTCAACCACGAGGCCATTTTCAATCTACTTCAATACTAAGCAGTGTGGTATCGAAAACATTTTTAGACGTCTCATTCAACAACAGCTATATAGTTATTTCATTTTTTTAAAATTTTTATTGTAGCTTGACTCCACAGAGTATTTTTGATACAGACATGGAATTTTCAGCATGTGATATCGGTAGCCAAGATTTAGCAGGCCGACTATTGTGGTATCAGGTGTGCGTCGGCCGGGGATCGAACCCCGGACCACGTACGTGGTCAGCGAGCGTACTAACCACTATGCCACCGATGCATAAAGCAGATGTTTTCGCTCAGGCTATGATGCACCCCAAGTGATTCACAACGAAAACCTCAGCTAACGCCTTTACGGTGAAGACATACAGGAGTCAGACAAGGCTATCTACTAACACTCAGTGAAATTCTTCATTGTGGCTGACTTGAACAAGGCAGCCCAACAACATGGAGAGCGCGGAGCACTCTGTACATAACTCATATTTGTCAAATGTCACACATATTCAAAGATTTACAAACCAAATTCAACACAACACGACCGAAGAAGAGACAACGAAGACAGGAGTTCGCGTGATGAAAATGGCGAAGATAGAAGGGATAAACAAACAACAACGAATATCGATCGCTATCAACTGCAGAAATCCTAAGGAAGTCGTCTATTTCACTTGTTTCAACAGCAGTCTTAAAATACACTGCATACACAGACGGCACGGACGACGATGTTGAAGCCAAGATCAGATAAGCAAGACAGATCTCAGTTACTCTGAAATTAGTGTGGAAATCTGTTCCACTCGAGGTAAACAACAAAAATCGGATTTTCGAAACTACTGCCAAGTGGCTTCTTCTTCTATGTGGAGTTCAGAGGTTTTGGGCATCACAAAAACCACCTTTCTCCAACGCCTTCGTTCCATAGTGAAGATCAGATGACAGACGAGAAAGGGCTGTTAACAATAAGGAACTCTGGCGACGAATACAGAGGGGAATAGAGATAGATTGACACCACGTGTAAGACAGACCCCTTGAATGGGACTCTAAATGGGGAAAATGAGTTAGTTTTAGGCATCCAAGTGTGACATGGAGGAGACTGTGTGAGGAGGAGGAGTTGAAAGCTTCTGGCAATTGTGGAGCCAATTAGAAATGACTGCAGAAAAGAGGATGAAATGGAAGCGTGGTGTTGATGTCTTTGTGGTTCCACTCCGAACCCAACGGAATAATAATACAGTTAGACGCAAGCAGTACTCGTTTTGATGTGGTTTTGTTCTCTGAGTGGATGGTTAGTTGCGAAGCTTCATCCCTTACTGGGTGACATCTTCAGCGCTACTTCAAATTGAAGTATGCGCTGAAGATGTCACCAGTAAGGTGATGAAGCTTCGCAAACTAACCATCCAGCTCAGAGAAAAAACCACATCAAAATCATCACATGAGCTACAAATCTTCTCTATCATATCTAGCAGTACTCGTATTCCTCAACGACACCGTGACTTTAAGCTGTTAGTCTAATCACTGACTTGAGGATATTAGATGGTTGGAAGCTATCGGAAGGAAGCCTTGGGCTTAGGCTTCGTATCCATTGCCTTCAACCATCTAATATCATCAAATCAATGTGTGCACCGTGATGGCGAGCTACCTAGTGGTATGGTGGCCACACTGCGAACCTGAATGATAGAATTCAGTCTGCACCAAAGATAGGAGGAGGACTAGACACATCACCACACTAGTTAGCAGTGTCCAATCAAACTAATTACAGACTGACTTCCCAGTTTCTGATTTATTTCATCTCAGAAATCCTTCAATCTTTCCGCAAAAAGTACATACACTATCAGTTCATTCCTACTGTGTCAAGTCAGCAACACAGTACAGTTCACACTGTCATTAACTCACTTACTTTGGATCATCTTTGTAGTCTCCTGAATTTTGACTTGCGCTTACATCACAATCCACAATATCATTACGAGGTGCAAGCTTCAATTCTTCAGTCGGTAAAATAACCTGTGAAAAAAATAAGTAAATAAAAGCAAGGCAATTTAAATCAATTATTCGCGCGAAATCTCAAATTGGATTGAGTCACAAATAAAATAAAAGACAAATTCAGCCAGCGAAAAAATTTTTCTTTATCGACAACATGAAATCGCCGAAAAAAAGATATCTTTGCTGAACTTCGTGTTTTCTTCTTTCTAACATTTCTCACAATCCTTTATATTTACTGTACGGCAATCTTGCTACTTAATACATTTACAACTGTTTCACAAGTATTTCGCCCTCTTATCTCATACCATATCTGTCATATTTTAGCTGCCCTCTAATATGGCGAATTCTCTACAAACTTATCAGTATGATGTGGGACTGTAATTTTCTTTTGTTTGAATCGAATTTACAGTATAATTTGTCATCGTAACAACAATTTGCGCTTTTATCCGTACTGGTTAATTGGGGTTTATTTTATTATTATTATCATCATTTTTATTGTTCCCATGGAGTTCCGAGTGGAAGGTAGGGGCTTCAACAACACATCTTCACTTTGTCCTACTTAATGCTGTGCTCTTTATTATTATTATTATTATTATTATTATATCCTTTAGTTCCTAGAGGAACATAGGGTTTCAGCTGCACATCTCTATTGCCTTCTGTTTTCTGCCAACTTTTTCACCTATCTGTCTGTTTTCGACATAGAACTCTGCACAAATGTGCGGAAGTTCAAGTCTCCACACTCCGTGTAGCACACAAACAAAGAGAAGAAAGTACAAGAAAAGCATAATAGAGACAGTGAACAGAGGTGTGAGACAAAGGAGGAGTAATAACGAAGAACAAAACAGTTTCATTGGAAATCATAAGTCACAAGGAGTGGATGCATCTGCACCAGCCATTGACAACGACGATTTTGAGCCATGTCACCAATTGTTTCCAACCATTGGTTTTCACCGTCCCGAGGACCCCAGCCTGGAAGTCTACACCTTCCTACGTGGCTTAGACCAACTGTTGTGGATTTCATTGACTGGTGACAAGTTTTTGTTTGACCGCCGCTAGCTTTTTTCCAACCTGAACCTATGTCAGATAACATTGCTCGTCGAGGAAGTCGGTGACCAGGCATACGTAACACATGTCCTAGCCATCTCAGTCTTCGTAACTTCACTACTTCGTCGATTGATTTCCTCTGTTTACCTAGAACTCGACGCCTAACCTCAATGTTGCTCACCTTATTATGCCACTTTACACGGGAAATAGAGCGCAGGCACTTATGATCAAAGACAGCTAGTCTTTTCGTGTCTTCCACTCTCAGTGGCTAGGTCTCACAACCATGAAGGAGAAGGACAGAGCGGACTGATGAGCATTACACCCGCCCTTTGGTCGATAGTCGAACATCTCGTCTACGCCAGAGTCGGCGTAAACTGGCAAATGCGAAACGAGCCCCCTGTATCCGTGCTGAGATTTCGTCAGAGATCAACCCATTGGCACTGGCTGATGGTACTTCCCAAATAAGTGAAGCGGTCAACGTGCTCTGCCACTTCACTCCTTATTTATAAACTAGGAGTCGGTGTAGTCCAGTCCTGTAACATCATCTTGCATTTGGCGGGAGCGAATCGCATGCCAAACATTCGTAGATTGCGGCTCAAGGTGTTTAGAAGACTCTGCATTTTGTCAGCGTCTTCGCCTAGAAGGATTATATCATCTGCATATTCCAAGTCAACGAGATTAGTCCCTGGTAGGAAGTCAATCCCTGAGTCGCTGAAGTCACTTAGGGTTAAGTCCATTAGTACATCTATGATGAAGTTGAATAGAAAAGGGGATAATGGGCATCCTTGACGGACAGTTTTTCACCTCGCTCCAAGTCTGCCCACATGCTTTCATCTCCTCCTCACATGACCTCCTCCAAGTCACCCTTGCACTGACGACCAACTCGCCGCTTCCCTTTCGGGTTCCACTCGAGCAATGGCTTGTCTAGTGATGTCACTCACTTGATGGTTTCCTCAGAGTATGGCCAATCCATCTCCATTTCTTCCTGACTATTTGTTTTACAATCGGTTCCTGATTGGTTCGCTCCAAGAGATCCCTGTTGCTGATCTTTTCTGGCCAGCCATCTGATCTTTAGTATTGAGCGAAGACAACTGTTGATGGTTTGAAGTTTGTTTGAGGTGCTCTTTATGACTCGCCAAGTCTCTGATCCGTAGCACTGACTTTACATTGGAGTTGAAAATCCGGATCTTATTTTTGATGCTGAGTGTTGTCGACCTCCACACAGACTTGAGAGTAATGAAAGCTTGTCTTGCTTTTCCGATTCTAGCTTTGATATCCTCGTCAGTTCCGCCTGTAGTTGAAACGATACTTCTCAAGTAAGTAAAGTAGGCTGTTTCTTTCAGGTTCCTCCCAATTATGCTGATTGTTGTTGCTGTTGGCCAGGAATCTTCATCACCTCTGTCTTCTCTATGTTCACCTAAAGGAATTCTTATCTTTGATGCTTCTTCTGCCAACTTGTTGCTTTTCACTTGCATATCTTCTAGTTTGTGGGAAATCAGACACATATCATCGGCGAAGTCCAGATCCTCCAAGTTTTTTGTGTGAGTTCATTTTATGCCTGTTTCCTTCATTGTCCGTTTTCTGTCGCATTATCCAGTCTACTGCAATTAGGAAGATCATTGGTGATAGTAGACAGCCTTGCCTCACTCCCGTCCTCACTTCGAAGGCTTCCGTAAGTTTCCCGTTGTGGATTACTTGGCAGGCAGCATTGTCGTATAACTGTTGGATGAGATGTATAATTGTCGATGGGACCCCGTAGTAGCGAATTAGTTGCCAAATCACCTCTCGATCGACGCTGTCGAAGGCCTTCTCGAAGTCGATGAAGTTGAGATAGAGAGGTGACTGCCATTCCAAGCTTTGCTCAGTGATGATCCGTAGAGTGCTCTTTAGTTGACTCCAGTGATTGCCCATAGTCTCTTATCTCCGTCACCCTCAAAGTGACGCCTTATTCGTCTTTTCGCATTCAGCTTCCACTCGAGCGATGGTCCGATGTGCGATGTCAATCGACGGTTTCTTCTCAGTGGCGTGTGTCCATTTCATCTCCATTTTTCCTGAATATTCGTTGAGCAGTCGGCTCTTGGTTGATTTGTTCCCAGAGTTTCTTGTTGCTAATTCTTTCTGACTGGTCATTTGATCTTTAATAAGGAACCAGAGAAGGCAGCTGGTCTGTTCGAAATGCTATTCGTGTGACGCACACGCCAAGTTTCTCATCCATACAGAAAAAGTGACTGGCTGACTGACTTCACATTGATGTTGAAAATCTGAATTCGATTGTTTAATGCTGTGGTGAAGGTGTGTATCTTGCTTGCCTTTCCAACAATTCTTGCTGGTTGACAACAACATCTTAATCTGCGTTGTTCACCTGTAGTTCACCAGATAAGTGAAGGAGGCAACCTGTTATGTACTAGTTTCCCCCGTCGCCAAATTGTTATGTTCTAGTTTCCCCGTCGCCAAATTGTTATGTACTCGTCGCTGAATTATTGTTATGGACTGGTCGAGAAACTAATAGTCCTGACGCGAGAAGGCGGAAATCAGAAGACCACTAGGTTTGCGATGATACTTCTATTGTCCAAACACAAGGAGACGAAAATAAATGGTCTCACACCAAAGTGGTAAGCAAGTCAAGTAGTTGTAAAGTAAAGTAGTTCACACAAATTGTGAATGCGAATATATATAAATAATTCAGACAAGCGTGGGAAAAATCATTAGACAGTCTTAACATGAATGGCTAATTATAATGGAGTGTCGATCCAATTATACATAGCGAATATAGCAGACATGCCAACAAACATATATGGATATATGTCACCAAGCAACGGACTGTCAACAAACACTCATATTATATATAATATAATATAAGGAGAATACACATTATTAAAGGAGACAAGTCCATACAAGTGAAGTGGTCACAGACTAACCGAGCAAACAGAAAGAGAGACCAACATGCACACACACACATAAATATATATATGTGGATACATATCACCTCCCCTTTTGAGAAGATGAATGATTAGTAGGATGTTTACCTGGGGGTTTATCTGGGACCTTTGGGCTTGTTGTTGACGCCTGTCGTTTCGTCTGATTGTTGGGTTTGCGGCTTCGGCTCCGTCCGGAATTGTCTAGCATTTTATGCTTCTTCACTGTATTGCGTAGAGAATTTAGTGGGACATCAGCCAGATGCAAACGATCGAACCAATCAAGTCCCAAAACATTTAAATCATTCTTCGTGACGTAACAAATTCCTGTGAATTTGGTATTGCGGAAGGAAACAGAACATTTGAGTTCACCAATTAGTTTGAGCCGCCCACCACAGGCGCTGAGAAGAGACTGGGAAGTATTGGTGATAGGTGGTCTGCCAATATAATTCCAAAGTTTCTCTGATATAACAGTAATATCAGAGGCAGTATCTAGCTGCAGACGAGTATCATGACCATTCATCTGAAGGTCAATATATTTCCGCATAGCTGGTGTTGTGACTTGACGGGTTGCGCGTAGACTCAATGACTTTTTGGGGATTTAGGACCAACATTTTGTTGAGCTTTTGCTGGATTATGATATCTGGGTTGGCGTGGCTGACAAAAACCATTTTTATGACCGATGATTTTGCACTTGCTGCAACGATGATTTTTGTATGGGCAAGACTTTACAAAGTGCCACGCGCCACAATGCCAGCATGGTGATGGTGGGGTCTTCTTTGCCGTATTTTGTGAAGTTGGACGAGTATCTGTAGATTTCCGCGGAACATTAGAGAAGTAGGTGGGTCAGGAGTAGCTGATGAGAGATTTTTGCTCTTGCGTAATGCACGAATATCAGAGCTTCTCGGAGGTGTTGATTCGACCAGGTGTGTGTCTTTCTGCAGATTAATCAGCCGTTGATATTCATCAGCTATGTCATGTAATGTTAACTTGGGATTTTGTTCTAGCTGATTGAGCAGTCGAGTTCGGATATCTGTGAAACGAGGAGATTGGAGACTGCATATGAGAATCAAGGCTTTGAACTGATCATCTGTTAAGGACCTGAGTCGAAATCTCTCACATTCTCGGTTGACTGTGCCAACGTGAGTAAGAAAATCATCATTTTCATTCATTGCCAGCTTGAGGCAACGATAACGTATACTGAATAATGAGGAGTGGTCTCCGAAATGTTCACGCAGCAACTTTATTGTATCATCGAAACAATTGTCACGTGGTTTCTGTGGTAAAATTAGGTTGCAGTACCGTTCATATTCTGCCGGACCCAATTTACGTAGCAAAACTCGCACCTTCCAGGCATCGTCTTGTGAGGCGAGATCAACAGTGAATAAATCCTCATAACGTTGATACCATGTGTCAAAAGTGACATTAGCCTCTGGGTCATAATTGAACTGTGAAATGCTGTTCACAATTCCGTCGACAGATGGTAGCATGGTATGATTGGGATTGCTTGAAGGTGGAGCTGGACCAGTCTGTTGGTTGACGAACATTTCCATTAATTTCATTTGTCGTTCAAACAATAATTCCAATTTAATAGGATCCATAGTAAATTGTTATGTTGTTGCTGCTGTGTGGTTAATAGTAGTTTTTCCCCGTCGCCAAATTGTTATGTACTAGTCCCCGTCGCCAAATTGTTATGTACCCCGTCGCCAAATTGTTATGTTCTAGTTTCCCCGTCGCCAAATTGTTATGTACTCGTCGCTAAATTATTGTTATGGACTGGTCGAGAAACTAATAGTCCTGACGCGAGAAGGCGGAAATCAGAAGACCACTAGGTTTGCGATGATACTTCTATTGTCCAAACACAAGGAGACGAAAATAAATGGTCTCACACCAAAGTGGTAAGCAAGTCAAGTAGTTGTAAAGTAAAGTAGTTCACACAAATTGTGAATGCGAATATATATAAATAATTCAGACAAGCGTGGGAAAAATCATTAGACAGTCTTAACATGAATGGCTAATTATAATGGAGTGTCGATCCAATTATACATAGCGAATATAGCAGACATGCCAACAAACATATATGGATATATGTCACCAAGCAACGGACTGTCAACAAACACTCATATTATATATAATATAATATAAGGAGAATACACATTATTAAAGGAGACAAGTCCATACAAGTGAAGTGGTCACAGACTAACCGAGCAAACAGAAAGAGAGACCAACATGCACACACACACATAAATATATATATGTGGATACATATCACAACCTCATTCAAATCCCTCTCTCTCTCTCTCCAGTTGATGGTGATTCGTACCGGGTTTTTGTTGCTGTTGCTTATCCGCATTCTGTGTTGATTTTAACTGTCGAAGTATATATCAAATTATTTGCCTTTGATAAGGACACTACACTTAATTGAGAGTGGAAGACATGAAAAGCCTAGCTAGCTGTCTTAGATCATAGGTGCATGAGTTCTAACTCCCATGTGAGGTGGTATAATAAGGTGAGCAATATTGACGTTAGACCTTAGTTGAGTGCCAGCTAGGTAAGGAGGGGAAATAAATCGACGAGGCTGTGAAGCTGCATCGACTGAGATGGTGAGGACATGTGTTACGTATGCCTAGTCATCGCACTCCTCGACCGACGGACAATGTTAGCAGACATAGGGTCAGGCTGGAAAAGAGTGAGCTAGCGGAGGTCAAACCAAAACATGGCTTCACCAGTCAATGAAATCTACAACAGTTAGTTTAAGCCAGACACGTAGGACGGTGTAGACTTCGTGGTTGGGGTCTTTGGGACGGTAAAAACCAATGGTTGGAAACAATTGGTGATATGGCTAGCTCAAAATCCTCGTTCTCAATGGCGAAGATGCATCCACTCCCTGTGAATTCTGATTTCTTTGTTATTACCATTCTTTTTGTCTCACATCTCTGTATACTGTCTCCAATATGCATTTCTTCTACTTACTTCTCTTGCTTTGTGTGCTACACGGAGGGAACGTGGCGACTTGAACTGCTGCATATCGGTGCAAAGTGCTATGTCGAAAACAGACAGACATACAGACTTCAAACCACAAAATTGTAAACAACCCTTCAAATTACTGGACATATGGAAGATTAAGACCACAATTTAGGGGAATGAAATGTAGTCAATTCATCCCATAATGTTTGTTGTGTTCTTGCTCTATCTACTAATATGAAATAAACTTCAGTAGTATAAGAATACGCTAGCTAGTCATCATAACTTGTATGTAAAATTGGGGAAACTTACATTCACAGTAGAAAAACATAATTCCTGTTCGTCAGTTGACAACGGTGTAGGAGGTGTATCTCCAGAAGAACTAACTAATAGTGATTCATTGGTACTGCTGGCAGATGAAGTTGACTCAACTTTTGTTATTGTAGACGATGCAGATGACTTTTCAGTCCCGTGATCTTTAACTATCAGGTGTCCTAGGTGTTGTAATTCTTCAGCTATAGTTAACTGACGCAGTGATACAGTTGTAACACGATGCATTGGATTAGTTAGCGTTAAAATTAGATTGAGTTTCTAAAAAGAAAAAGAAAATAAAAAAAAACCTAACATGAAGCTATTAGTGTGATATGTATCCACATGATGTGTGTGTTTTGTTGTTGACAGTTTGTTATATTATTTTGCTATGTGTATATGGATCGATATTCCATTATATAACTGACATTATGCTTTTGTCTGTCCACTAACTAAATAAACATGTATTATGACCTTGTTATCATATGACATTACAACCAATCATGGTATGATGACTGTCTTATTGGTTCATGTGTATTAGCCATTTTCATATCTACTTTTGTATCAGACACTTGTACATTATTTGGTTCACATACTTGTTCGTACATTTCACTCACACACTAGTGTGACATTTATTTTCCTTGTCTGGAAAATACAAGTATCATCGTAAACCTAGTGGTCTTCTGATTCCCTCTTTCCGCGTCAGGGCTATTAACTACTCGACGAGTACATAACATAGTGATTTCCTTTAAATCATGTAGGGTATATATATATATTTCTCTGAACTACTGTGATATTAATTAGCAGAGCGTGCTGACGTTAAATGCTCCTATATGAAGTTATCGACGTGGCTTTAAGAGGCTATCTGGGGTGTTTCTATGGATCTCACCGTTGTTTGTGGTCACAGAGTGAAGTGAAGATGCCTCACTAACTTGCAAAATAGTACTAACTGTAGTAGAGAGGCAAGATGAGGAAGGTGGTGTGAGTGAAGGGGAATGATGCTCAGGAAGACTTCGTGTGCTTTTGGAAGTGTTTGGACGGTTGTTACTTCCCGGCTGCCCACACCGTGGAAGTTGATTGATTCTTTGGGTACCTGAAACAGAAAGAGTGTTGCGTGACCGCAGAGCCCAGGGGACAACTGCTTGAGGCAGGCCACACACGGCCTGTATGAACTGGTTTCTGGGATTGGTTCCGTATTAGTAAACTTACCGCCGGTTACGGACCACCGTAGGGTAAGTCGGGATGTACAATTTTTGGGGTCGACCTTTTCTAAACCCCTCCCTCCGGAGTGGAGAGATAGCATAGATGGCTGACAAGCTGGTCATCTGAGGGAAAAACACCTCACTGCTGTTACACCCCTGTTCCCCAGCAGTACGACTTCGCCCTCAGACCCCCAGCATAGTGTAAGAAAGATTCTTGCACAATTCCGGTAACTGCTTTTAGTCTGATGGCTATCCTAACAGCCTTCCTGCTATGGTAGGACCTGCAGGAACATATGCTCCAGTCAGTGTAGCTTGTTGGGTCATTGCGATGTGCAAGACCGACCACCATGTCACGGTAGAAGCTATCGGTCGGGGGTATTACTTGGATTTCAACTAGTGCGGATGTGAATGCATTACACAGCATATAGTGAGTAACAACGCTTAAATTATGTTGTCCAAAAGTGATGTTAGTTAGCACCCAAACACACAGATAATGCGAGAGGTAATATGGCATTGTTTGGCTGTGAAGGGAATGCTGAGAAAATAAAACGCAGCGATCAAGGCACTTTAATCGAACTCATGCAGTCTGTAAGGCGAGAGCCTATGGAGAGTTGTCATTTGAAGTGGTGACAACCAGTGGTGTCCGTCAGGGATGCCCACTGTCTCCATTTCTGTTTAATTTCATCATAGATGTATGTTAGTGGACTTAACTCTAACTAACTTCAGCGACTCAGGAACTGACTGACTGGTTATCAGGGAATAATCTCGCTGACTTAGAATAGTCCTCCTACGTGAAGTTGCTGACAAAATACGACAGATTCTTATGAATACATTGAGGAGCAGCGACCTTCGAATGTTTGGTATGCGATTTGCTCCTGTTAAATGTAAGACGATACTAAAGAAATGGACTACATTGACTCCTAGCTTAAAGATAGGGAGTGAAGTGATGAGGCTTGTTGGCCATTTCACTTATTCGAGAAGTTGCATAAGCCAGCACCAAGGAGCTGTTCGCTGACGAAATCTCAGCACGGATACAGAAGGCTCGTTTGGCATTTTTCAACCAACATACTCCATCTCTCGCTTAGTAAGGCATGCTATCCGGCTGTCTGTTGACCAGAGGGCGTATGTACTGCTCAGTAGTCTGTTCCGTCCTGCTTTATGGCAGGCTGTGAGTGTGACATAGCCGTTGATTGAAAGTGGAAGACATGAAAAGCCTAACTAGCCAGCTTTCTTTGACTATAGGTGTCTGTCTGCATTCTATCACCCGTGTTATGTGACATAATAAGGTGAGCATTAATGAGGTTACGCATCGAGTGCTAAGTGAGTTGGAAGGGAAATCAATCGACGAGGTTGTGAAGTTACACAGATTAAGATGGTTAGGAGATGTGTTACACAAGGCTAGTCCAGCCATCGCCTACCTCGACAACAGGCAATGTTAGCCGCTGACATATGATTAGTTAGGTTGGAAAAGAGTTGGCTAGTGATGGTCAAACCAAAACCTAGCTTCATCAGTCAATGAAATCTACAACAGTTAGTTTAAGCCAGCCAGCCATGTAGGGAGGTGTAGACCGGATGGCTGATTGGGGCCTCGGGATGACAAAAACTAATGACAGCGGTTGGAGACACAATTGGTGATATGGCTCAAAATCTTCGTCGTCAATGACAGCACAGATGCATTTCACTCTTTAGCATCTATGATATTCAATAAAATTTCATTATTCCTCCATATTGCCATTCCTTTGCCTCATGTTTCTGTTTATTATCTCTCTCTCTCTCTGTCTTTTGAATCTGTATTTTTTGTTACTTTATGTGCTACATGGAGTATAACAGCTCGAACGGTTGCACGTATGTGCAAGGTTCTACATGTACACATGCGGCTTCCATTCACTAGCAAATGTGTTGGATTAACACCTGGTATTAACGCATCATGATTCTAATGGTATTGACTTAGCGGTGTGGCGTGTGCTACTGAAAAGAATTATCAGTAGTGTGTAGAGACACATTTATCGGCACAAATGTATCAAATAACGGAGAGATAGATTTAACGCGTAGAAGAGAGCAAATGAATCAACTGATGTATTGCGGCAAAACATGCCATTCGCTCCCGTCAAATGTAAGATGATGTTACAGGACTGGACCACACTGACTCCTAGATTACAAATAGTAAGTGAATTGGTAGAGCACGTTGACCGCTTCACTTATTTGGGAAGTACCATCAGCCAGCGCCAACGAATTGACCTCTGACGAAATCTCAGCACCGATACAGAGGGTTAGTTTCGCATATGCAAGTTTACGCCGTCTCTGGCGTAGACGTGATATCCGACTGTCTATCGACCAAAGGGCGGGTGTACTACTCAACAGTCTGCTCCGTCCTCCTTTATGGCTGGCTGTGAGACCTGGCCATTGAGAGTGGAAGGCATGAAAAGATTAGCTGTCCTCGATTATAGGTGCCTGCGCTTTATATTCCGTGTGAAGTGGTATAATAAGGTGAGCAATATTGACGTTAGACCTTAGTTGAGTGCCAGCTAGGTAAGGAGGGGAAATAAATCGACGAGGCTGTGAAGCTGCATCGACTGAGATGGTGAGGACATGTGTTACGTATGCCTAGTCATCGCACTCCTCGACCGACGGACAATGTTAGCAGACATAGGGTCAGGCTGGAAAAGAGTGAGCTAGTGGAGGTCAAACCAAAACATGGCTTCACCAGTCAATGAAATCTACGACAGTTAGTTTAAGCCAGCCACGTAGGAAGGTGTAGACTTCGTAATTGGGGTCCTCGGGACAGTAAAAACCAATGGTTGGAAAGAGTTGGTGATATGACTAGATCAAAATCGTTCTAAATGGGCGGCGCGGATGCATCCACTCCCTGTGACTTATGATTCCCAATAAAACTGTTTTGTTCTTCGTTATTACTATTCTTTTGTCTCACACCTCTGTTTACTGCCCCTAATATACATTTCTTCTACTTGCTTCCCTTGCTTTGTGTGGTAGTGGAGGGAGTGTGGAGACTCGAACTGCCGCCCATTTGTGCAGAGTTCTATGTCGAAAACACACAGACATTGCAGCAAAAGATGGGAGATACGAAAAGAAGACAAAGAAACATAATTCGAAGGGTACAACACAGACGATCTGCGCAAATGATGATTTTCATATAAAGTGTACATAAATTTCCCCACATAGAGATATCAAAGCAATACACATTCTGTTGCCAAGTAAATCTCTTGTCTTTTATCATTACAGTGGCATTAAAAGGGTACCAAAACAACACTGGCATCGAAGTAAGGCACAGTTGTTTTTGTTTACATAACAAAGGAGATTTACAGCTGAAGCATTCAAAAGTTGTCATATTTTCATATCTTATCTGTGAGCATGCAAACATGCTATTTCACCACTATGCGCAAAAAAGGTGCTTGTCTTGATGCCTGAGTGCAATACGTTTTGAAACCACATGAAGTAAATAAAAAGCCAATGACTTGAGAAGTATTTCGATATGACCATAAGTTAAGTAGCAGGGATTCGACTGCCTACAGGATTTCATCATGAGCAGATATCGGTTAGAGAACCATTAAAAAACCACCACTCGAGTATTGGATAGCCAGCTGTTTCGTCAGCCTAGTTTGGGACTCTTCATCAGTACGCACCCACTCCACTGCCAGGGTTGGAACCCTAGAACTTCGGGTTGCAAGGTGACCTTGTAGAGCACTCAGAGACTGGGACCAACCGGTCCATGGATTCCAACTTCTGTCAGTTCACGACATAGCGCGACCAAGGGTGATCCAAGGGTTAAAAATCTGTTCACGACATATTTCCCCACAAATTGCAATCTTTCTTCAGCTAATATATCACACAATTCGCGAAGATATCTACCCGAATTCCCCACAAACCTAGGAAATATGAATATTTACGAATGTCCTGGTTTAAACAAGACTACTGGTATCTAATTGGTGGATGGTGATTAGCAGTGGAATCCAGGATAAAGTGCATTTTGTCCGACATGTCAATATGAGACCGAGCACTTCGGTCCAATCAACCGACGGGAAAATCTAAAATTCAATTAAAAATAAAAGAATACTGGTACTTTGAAATTAAGTGCTTTAAAAAAAAGCAAAAACATACAAACGAAAACCACTCTCTTACTTGACCAGGCGCAGCGTTTGCATGTACCACAGGTTCAGATTTCATAGCAACTAGTGTTGTAGAAGTACGCCGTTGAAAATCAGCTTTATTCACATTCAATCCAACATTGCCTGATGGAGTTGTTTTTCCTGTCGCTGAAGTTGACGGTGATGGGATCATGTATCTCAGTTCAGGGACATGATAAATAGCACTCAAATTGATTCGAAATTTAATAGAACTTGGATTAAAATCAGATTTGCATAAATTATGCTCACAAACACGACAACGCATTGATCGTTTAACAACTAAACTTTTTGGTCGTGGTTCCAATTGTGATATATGCTTTGGTTGAACTTGTGGTGCTAAATGACGCTGATGAATATTGGTTACTTGAGGAAGTAAATCAATGGAATGAATAAAAAAAGAAGGGAAAAGAAGAAGAGATGGGGAATAATCTATGACAAGAAAAGAATCATTAAAGTGCAAAAATCTATACATAATGAACTTATTATGCTGCAAAACCCTTCAACTACCTTGACAACACAACAATCTCGGAATGACCAGTCGTCAATTCCCAATACTTCAAACTGCCACCGGCGTCCATCGATTTAAGTATTTGTGGAAGCAAATACACAGGAGCCAATGAATTAACAGATAACCGTCTGTCTGTCTGTTTTCGGCATAAAACTCTGCACAAATGTGCGGAAGTTCAAGTCTCCACACTCCGTGTAGCACACGAAGCAAGGGAAGAAAGTACAAGAAAAGCATAATAGAGACAGTGAACAGAGGTGTGAGACAAAGGAGGAGTAATAACGAAGAACAAAACAGTTTCATTGGAAATCATAAGTCACAAGGAGTGGATGCAACTGCACCAGCCATTGACAACGACGATTTTGAGCCATATCACCAATTGTTACCAACCATTGATTTTTACCGTCTCGAGGACCCCAACCAGGAAGTCTACACCTTCCTACGTGGCTGGCTTAAACTAACTGTCGTAGATTTCATTGACTGGTGAAGCCATGTTTTGGTTTGACCTCTGCTAGCTCACTCTTTTCCAGCCTGACCCTATGTCAGATAACATTGCTAGTCGAGGAAGTCGATGACCAGGCATACGTAACACATGTCCTAACCATCTCAGTCTTTGTAACTTCACAACTTCGTCGGTTGATTTCCCCTGTTTACCTAGAACTCGACGCCTAACCTCCATGTTGCTCACCTTATTATGCCACTTTATACGGGAAAACGTGCTCTACCACTTCACTTACTATTTGTAATCTAGGAGTCGGTGTAGTCCAGTCCTGTAACATCATCTTACATTTGGCGGTAGCGAATCGCATGCCAAACATTCGTAGATTGCGGCTCAAGGTGTTTAGAAGACTCTTACTTACTTACTTTTACTTTACTTCGGCTATCTCCTACGGGAGGATGAGCCGGCTTCATGAACGTCTCGAATCATCGCTGCCCAGGCGCGGCAATTTGTAAGAGAGTTCATGATGTTTCATGGGAATTTGGTACGAGTGATGTCCCCAGCATCGCTCGGCCTTTTGTTTGAGAGTGCAGCTCTAGCCTTTACACAGCCAAGTGTGACCTACAAGGCAGTAGGAGTGGAGTAAGGAGTCCACTATCCATTGGCAGCCGGTGACCGGAGTTCGGTTCATACGCCTTTTTGAATGGGGCCAGACATCCAGGACATCCAACAAGCCCTTTGTCCATACATCTGCCGGTGAGCTCCAGTGAGCTTCATACGCCAGTCGTTGGAGGTTTGGAATCAGGGTTTAGCCTGCATTTTGTTAGCGTCCTCCCCTAGAAGGACTATATCGTCTGCATATTCTCTAAGTCAACGAGATTATACCCTGGTAGGAAGTCAATCCCTGAGTCGCTGAAGTCACTTAGGGTTAAGTTCATTAGTACATCTATGAAGTTGAATAGAAAAGGGGATAATGGACACCCTTGACGGACACCACTAGTCATCAGCAGTTCAGATGACAACTCGCCGTAAGCTCTCACCTGGCTGTATGAGTACGAGTAGAATGCCTTAATTTAACAGTGCCTTAATTAACAGATAAACTTGGAAGGGGTCAAATATGACAACTCCTCTTCCTAGTGTTATTAGAGGACATTTGGCGGCAGGAGAATACCAACTTGAATGTAGATGCACGTACTCTAATAAGTCAGGAGATAAAGCATCAATGGATATCTACCGATTGATTTACTCCCATGGAGTGAAATTTGTCAGCCATTCAATGCGTATTTTATCTAAATTATCTATCAACACAATCATGGAGAGAGGCACACAAAGGTCAACAAAAGAAATACCCTAAAATTACAATTGATTAAAAGGTGCCAGAGAGTAATCAGATGGACATCATCAGTGACTAGTTTCATAATCTGCATAACAGCAAAGGGGAACTACTTTCCGGAGGCGCTTCTTTAACAACTGGGAACATTTATTTCTCGATATGAATTTAAAACAATCAACAAAGGGGACAATAAAGCAAGATTTAATGAATTCATTAAATTTCGGTAGAAGTAGTCAAACGTAAGACCCCACTAGAACTATCAAGAGAAATTAATTGGTGGATGGTGACTAGCAGTGGAATCCAGGATGTGCTCCCGTGGCCTAAGTGGTCTAGTGGATAACGCTTTGGCTGGTGTTTGAAACTATTGGTACTTGGATCGAGTTTCAGTGGTGGGAACATCATCACTGACTCACTGGGGAATGCAGGTACATCCAGATGACTAGTCCCAAATAGGACGAAATGCGCCTTATCCTGGATTCCACTGCTTGAGTTACCATCCACCAATCTACATCGAGTTGAATAAACAGACATCGTCGAAGCATCTGCACAAGAAGAACACATTTCAACCTAAGAGCGAGCACTTCTGTCCAATCAATCGATAAGTATATCTAAAATTGAATTAAATTATCAAGAGAACTCGTCTTCCTTAACGCCAACAAGTGAGTGCTTCAACAAACTGGAAAAGACCACTCGCCGATCCTCGATACTTCAAACTGCAACCCGCGTATATCAGTGTGACTGTGTTTGCGGAGACAAATACAGAAAGCCGATTGTGTACTCACATGATGGAGCAGTGGTAAAGATGTTTGAAAACTGCCGCAGTCAAAGTTCAATAAAAAATGCGTCTCGTGGACTACGAGCATAATATTGAAACAACAGCCAATTCACGCACTGTTGTCAATAGACAATCAAATGGACAGGAATATGCTTGGCGATTGCAGGTCCGTAGATAATACTGCTAGATTTGAGAATTATGGGTCAAATTTTATTCCTGATTAACACCGCCCAACAGAACACGATAACCTTGTTCTGACAGCACACTTAAACATGAAATGAAGACTCTGAAGGATATTTTATCCGAGAATCGATATACTGAGAGGTTCGTCAATAAATACTCTAAAGGAATATGCCTAAGTAAGACTATCCAAACAGTTCCAAAGAAATTTGTATATATCAATTTGCCGTTCAAAAGGGATGGTTTACAAGTAGTCAGACGAAGACTCTATCAAGAGAACTTATTATGCTGCAAAACTCGTCCTCCTTAACATCACTAAGTGGTTGATTCAACAGCCAAGGAATGACCAGTCCCCAACCATCAACACTTCAAACTGCAACCCGCGTATATCAATGTGAGTGTGTTTGTGGAAGCAAATACATAGGTCGTACGGAAAGGCGATTGTGTACTCACATGATGGTGCAGTGGCAAAGATGGTTGTAAACTGCCGAAGTCAAAGTTCAACAGAAATGCGTCTCGTGAACTACGGACATAATATTGACACAACGGCCAATTCTTTCACTGTTGTCAGTAGACAATCGAACAGAAAGGAATATGCTTGGCGATTGCGGAGGAGTCTTGTGTAATTACAGTTTATAATCCAGATCTGTGTGTACAAAAGGAAATGGTGGTCACTCTGAATCTACCATGGTAATATGCTTTACTCAACCTGTTATTATTATTATTATTCCTGACCCATTTAACGCTATCCTTTATCAGTAGCATTATCTTAACTCGTTACAACACTATTATTATTTAACTGGTGGATGGTGACTGGCTGTAGAATTCAGGATGCGCATTTCGTCCTACTAGGGACACGTTACTCCATGTTCCTACATTTCCCAGTGAGTGATAATGTTCCCACTGAGGCTCGAACCAAATGCCCATAGTTTCAAACGCTAAAGCGCTATCCACTAGACTACCTGGGCGATGAGAGCTACTTCTTATCCCAACATCATCACTCACTGGGAAATGCAGGTACATCCAGATGACAAGTCCCAAACAGGACGAAATACGATTTATCCTGGATTACACTGCTAGTCACCATCCACCAATTAGATTCTAATTAAATGCCCAGACATCGTCGAAGCATCTGCACAAGAAGCCCACATGTCAACCTGAGACCGAGCACTTCGGTCCAATCAATCGACGAGAAAGTCTAACATTCAATTCTATTATTATTACTACTATTATTGCTATTTTTAGCATTACTACGATTATCAGTATTATTTAGTTCGCAATTCTCGGCTATATATATATATATATATATATATATATATATATATATATATATATTCAAGTTCTTTCAATCACTGACAGCTAATTGTGTGGTGAGAGCAGGCTGCTAGCCGATTGGTTGGCACTAATCTACGTTAATGTCTAGGTCACTAATATGGGCCGTGAGAAAATATGAACAAGGCCGTTTCAACAACCAATCACAGCAAACTTAAATGTGGACAAATATGATTCGCAGATAGATGGCTCTACTTTCCGAGAAATATCGAAAACAACCAATCATAAGACTGTGTTTGTCTGCTTAACTTCCGAGAAACAACCAATCAGAAGACTGCCTTTTTCTGCTTGCATAAGCCTTATTAATGCATATAAAATATATATAAATACGTGTTGATTTTCGTAATAAAACGATCTGTTGCCAGCCCTTGTCTTCTGTTGTTACATTTGGTGTCGCTGCCTCCAAAAAATGAAGATCCCGTGGCCAGCTGCGTTTGAAGAAGGAGACATACGGAGCTTCTTACGTGACTTCGAGGCCGTTGCTGAGCTGGTGGGTGTCAAGGAGCAGGCGGCGAAGGCAGTTGTCCTGGGGACGCTGTTGAGAGGCCGAGCGAAGGCTGCATATGACAGCGTAGACAGGTCAAATGGCACAGCGTCTTGGAAGAAATTGGTTGAACGACTAGTGTCCGAGTTTGACAGCGAAACAGACAGACAGCTAGCAATGCAGCAGTTCCGGTCAATGAAGCTTGGACCTGATGGAGACCCGCTAGTGTTGGCGGTGAAACTGACTAATCTACTTCGACGCGCGCTTCCCACTTTAGATGAAGAATCAGAAGCGCAGTTACTGTCTTCCCAATTC